GGGGAACGGCTCACGCCTCTCCGCCAGTGTGGCTGCCCCGGGGCCAGCCTTCAGCGCTGCGTTACAGGACAGGCGATTGGGGGTCCCAGCTTTGCTTCTGACCGGCTGTGTGACTTGGGCCAAGTTATTTAACCTCCTGGTGCCCAAAGGGCTGCTGTGGGAATGAAGTGACTTAATGTATGTGTAGTGCTTAAGGCTGCAATGAGAATGCAGCGACATGACGTGTGCTCAGTGCTTAGCACAGTGCCTGGCACAGGCGTCCTCAGTGTGATGGGAGGGAGGTGGGAAGCATGAGGATTTGCTAACGAGTTGACCTGCCTTATTTCTCACTCATTCTGAGAAGTGAAAGGGACAGTTAGGTGACCCAAGTGGAGAAATCAGGTTCGAAACCTCAAGATCTCAAGGTTCAAAGGGCCGTATATTTTGTCCCTGTCATGTCACCCTTCCTTGCAAGTGGAAGTAGGAATAATTTGATCTTTCTTGCTTCTGCAGTTTTATTACATGTGTGTGTAACTATGATAGGACATTATGCTCTATTTCCCAATGTACAAAACAAAATCTTTAACTAGGAAGGTCTTATTATGATTTTTCTTCTACTCCTTTACATTTTTGTTTTCTTCCAGTCAGATCTTGGTGATAAAGTCAGGTGGTTGAGTGGGAGATTTCAGAAGAGTAGAAAGAAGCAGGCTGTGAAACTGCAAGACCACCAGTCTGGGAGTTACGGAATATGGATTGTATTTCTGCCCTGTCCAGTAGGGTGGCTAGCCACTGGCCATGTGTGGCTATTTACATTTAAATTATTGAAGGTAAAATAAAAGAATGTAATCCGGTTCCTCAGTCACACTGCCCATATTTCAAATGCTCAACTGCCACATGCTATTTGGCTACCATAGTGGACGGTGCATATTTTAAAACATTTTCATCGCTGTAGAATGCTGTTGGATGGCTCTAATCTAGTCCATAATGTGACACTCGTTCTTTTTTTTCTTTTTATCCTCACTCAAGGATATGTTTTTTTTTTATCAATTTGAGAGAGAGAGAGAGAGAGAAACATCGATGTGAGAAGGAATGATCACTATGAGAGTGAAACATCGATCAACTGCCTCCCGCATGCCCCCCAACTGGGGATCAAATCCAAAACCTAGGTATATGCCCTGACCGGGAACCAAACCAGCAACCTTTTGGCGTAGGAGACAATGCTCTAACCAACTGAATCACCTGGCCAGGGCATAACACTCATTCTTTGACCTTGGGCAAATTCCTTAACCCCACCAGACCGCTGTACCGATTTTTCAGTAATTTCCACACAAAGGTGGAATATTGGCGCTAGATGAAAGGTAGACCTATTTCGCACAATGTCTCCAAGTTCCATCTTATTCTAACCACTTGTTTGCATGTAACTAACATTTTTCTATATCATGTTGGTTTTTTCTCTTTAATGCTCAGGAGCCCAGGTATAGGGGACAGTTAGGTTCAGGGCCTCAGGTCTGGTAGGATTAACTCACAGTTCCTTAACCTCAGCACTATTGACATTTTGGAACAGATCATTCTTGGGCTGCCCTGTGTATTGTGGGAATTTTAGCAGCATCCCTGGTCTCTACCCACTAGATACCAATAGCACTCCATCAGTTGTGACAACCAGACCTTGCCAAATGTCCCCTGGGGGTGCAAAATTGCCCAGATTGAGAACCACAGCCTTAACTGCTTTGCGTTTTAGTTTCCTCTTCAACTAAAGAGCTTGCATTCTGCTGAGAGAACCCTCCCATTCAGCTCTAACATTCAATATGTCCAGAACCACCTAGCTTCTTCTCTCATCAAGGACTAATTTCTTGACTGCTCTCTTTTCATACTGCTGCTTGATTATGCCC